TTTCTTTCACTTTTGTTCAGTTCAAAATATTTTTTTTAATTTCCCTATTTGATCCATGGGTTATTTAAAGTTATATTTCTTAATTTTGAAGTGATTACCCTGTTATTTTTCTTTTATAGCGTTCTTGTTTAATTATGTAGAGAGAAGATTGACTTTAATTCTTTTAAATGTTTTATAGTGTGCTTTCTGGTGCATGTTGAGGTTCATATGTACTTGAAAATAACACCCAATTCCTTAATTTTTAGAGTCCTCAAATAGTTGCTTCACTAGTCTTCCTAAGTTTACAGCTGCAATTCATTGAGAATGACAGGTGGAGTTTCCTTGCTTCGTTTGACCCAGAATCAGAGCCTTTCATGTCACTTTGCTAAAACTTTTCATTGATAAATATTAGATTCTGAAATATTCTGCATAAGGATCCTTCTATGGGGGAAAAAAAAAACCCTACTAGAAACCACATAAAAGATTGATGATGAAAATAACTCTGATTTTTAAGTAAATGCTATCTCCTTTTCTGCAAAAATAGGATAATTAATGTCCTTCAAAGATGTATTTGCCATAGCTGTGCAAGATCTGCTCATACTTTATCAATAAGTTAGAGAAGGGAAAAGGAAGGATCTGGGTGGGATCAGAACTTGAGCAAGGAATATGGCTGCAGGGCTGATCTCACACAGGGATGATCTTCAGGTTTATTTCTTGGTGTTAGTGGCCATGTTTTCAATATGCAGGCCATAGCAAAGGGCATTTGTTCATCAGGAATGAAGCAGAAGATAGCAGCTTTATGTTACAAGATACTTATCTAGGTGCAGATTCCTAGAAATGTGCTGAAAAACAACATATTGAAGGTTCAAGCTCCAACCTGGCTCATGGGCTTCAAAGAGTAGCCAGGACCTAAATATGGAGCTATATGTAGAATCAGGAAACTGAGAGAGAAATCAGTCCTGTGGACTATTGAAATGCTTATGTGTAGAACTAAAACTGAGTAAATGGTCAGGTAGAAAAATTATCATCCTTGGGGAAGCAAAACTAGTTTTATTTAGTCTGTTACCCACTGCTCAGTGAGAAACTCTAGGCCTAACTCAGAAATGAGACCCTGGTGCTTATTGAGCCTAAAGAAGGCATAAAATAGAAAGCTTCATATGCAGTAGTTGATGTAAAAGTTCTGAGCACACGTTAGTGATCATTATTAACATTGTTGTTGATAACATAGACCTACGTGCATATTTGAAACTTCTCCTTAGGTGATATAGGCATCCAAGTTGATATACCAGGAAACAAGGGCATTGACTATAAGATAAGTACCAATACATCAGAGAGGAAGTATAAAAATGATCATATAGTAAATTAAATGGATAATGAAGAGAGGCTGAATGTAAATTTATTATATAAAATTTTCCATAATCTGAAGCAAACGTAGAGTCTGTTAAACTCTATCACAGCAATCTAAAGCTAGACTGTAATTCAGACCATAAGAAACCATGTGTCATTAAGCAGGTTTCTTTTCTTTCTGACAGCTTTTCCATCTCTGCAAATACCCAGTACCTCCTCCCCCCAAGAAAAAAGAAACAAAGTATATTTACTCATTGGGTCAAGGATGCAGGTTTGATCTCTGGTCAGGGCATATATAAGAAGCAACTAATGATGTATAAATAAGTGAAAGTACAAATCTCCTTCCCTCAAAGTCAGTAAATACTCCCTATTTTTTTTTTTTAAGAAAAATGCATTATTAGTCACAATAATAAAATCCTGAGGCAGAATGCAAGATGATATTAAATGAACCTGCTTTCTCAGAGAGGTCGCAGACCAGCCAACCTCCTCCCACTAACCTCGGTACCTTTAGTCTGTCAAAAACAGCCGACACAATCACATTTTCTTTTCAAGTCTGTTTTATTCTAATTCATCACAGGGCCAAACTGACCCTGGACTTGTCTTTGCACAGAAGTTATCTTTTGATTAGCTTTACCTTGGTGACCTGACTCCTTGCTGCCTCTGGCATAATCCAGTTACTCATGAGAATATCAATTAAGGTCCTCAATCACCCTAATTAGAATGTCTTCTAAGTGTTGCTTTAGGAATAGTATTAGGGCTGAAAGTACTGTGCCCTGAATCTGAAATGAAATATCTAGTTGCTCTCCACTGACAAGGATTAATGCAGAATTATTAATTAATTTAATTAATGACTTGGATGAGGACCTAGGTGGCATGCTGATCAAGTTTATAGATGACACAAAGCTAGGAGGATAACAATTACTGGGATGACAGACTAGGGAGCCAAATGATTTCAAGACAGAATTTAGTGGCAATCCATCTAATACGTGCTTGGAAGAATGATCTCTATTAGGCAGAACTGGATGTTAATATCACTCCTCTAATCAGAATCCTTCAATGATTCCCCTATTTGCTGTTAAAATTAAACCCCAAGTTTCTAACCTGATACACAAGTCCTTGTTATATTGTAATCCTAACTCTTCCTGCTTTCCAACAAAATCTTCTATATAGTACTTTCCCCGAATATCCTGTCCTTGATCCAAACTGAATTATTTATAGACTATTTCCTATTTATGGTCCATTTTCCCCTATCTTTGAGCATCATTCTCCATTGAGCTTCCTTTCCACAGACTTTCATTCTGCCTCACTCTTAAATTTCCAAACCAGTTCTTGCTATTCAAAAGCTCCCTTTTACATTTAGTCTTCTTTGATTGCCTTAGCTAGAATCATCTCTGTCTTTTGCTAATCTTCAATTATACTTATCTGTTCCTCTCTGACTATTTTATAACTGTTTATTCTGTACCACAGTTATTTTGTATACACATTTTAAGACTTGCTAAACTCTGCCCGGTGCTAGATTGTCTGCCTGGTAAATCTTTACATATCCCATAGAGCCTCTGCGTCTGTGTTGCTCTTAGCTGATGACATTGAAGTGGTTTATTTCTTCTGCTGAGAAGAAGTGTCCTTAGTGGCCCCTACAATCATATCAGAGAGACCTAAAAGCAGAAAGACTTCAATATATGTTATATTGAACCCATGAATGATGGAGAGAAGCGTTCCCTAAAGTAACAGCATATGAATATAAAAGGAATGGTGGTGATAAGGAAGAGACATTTAATCTTTGAAATTAAACAGTTATTTAAGATATAATCAAGTCACTTGATTTGTGTATGACCATTCTAGAGGAGAAAGCACAGTATGAACCAGATATTTCTGATGTGTGGTTAAGAGAGGTGATAGGAGTTGGAAACTTGCATTCCTTTTAAAGTGACTGACAGCACACTGTGTGGATTGCTTGGACAGTATCAATTTACACCCATTGTTTTAGTATAATACTCTTAAAATTATTCTATTTAAATGCTCTTATATGGTCACTCTATTAATCAACTAACTCTTTGACCTTTTAAGTTTGGTGGGTCCCTGTGGTTGTAAAGCTTATGGCATAGGAAATGATGTTTGAGATAATAATAATTTTATAGTTAGCCAGATATGGGTATAATATGCATCTCTTTCACTTACTAGAAATACGATCTGGACACATATTCAAGACCTCTAGTAAGCACCCTTACATATGACTATTGTCTTCAAAAGAAATATGAGAGATCTATAGTATGAAATTTTTCAGTAATGTAAATATTTCAGTATTTATAATCCTAGAAAGGCTTTACCAGGGGCCAAATATGTCAGGTATTAAGGAAAGAAATATTTCACAGAGTTGTTAAATCTCTAGGCCTTCTGCATTAAAGATCACACAACCAAAAGTAAGGACATGGTTCTTGCTGGTTGACTATTTTAGCTGGTTATAAATAAAGAGGCTCAAGACCATAGAAATTGGATTCCAGAGTCATCATTTGGGTTTTTTTCCAGTGAGAAGAAGAAAGCAGCCACAACAGGGCATGTGGTTTATATATTTCCTTTTACTATAAATTCATAATGTGGTGGACTGCTGACCAAGTCAGATTTCAGAATTTCTAGATTTCCTATTCATCACAAAGAAGGAAAATTGCTTGGATTATAAAATACTTCCAGTTGGAAATAAACCAAAGAAATGTGAAGAAGAGAAGAAGATCAAACATCTGCTGGAATGTGACTCTAATGAAAAAAAAAAAAATCCAGAGTGTTTTTTTAAAAAGGTTTTTATAATTCAGTTTATATATCAGATTAATAAATGGATCTACCTCATCCACTGCTAGTGGTACAACCACTATGGAAAGCAGTCTTCCTAAAAAAGAAATTAAGAATAGAGCTACCATATGACTCAGCAATCTCACTCCTGGGTATATATGTAAAAACTTGAAATTATGTATTTGCAAAGATAAATGCACCCCTATATTCATTGCAGCATTATTCATCATGGCTAAGACATAGAAATGACCAAAGTGTCCCGAGATAGAGAACTGATAAAGAAGATGTGGTGCATATACACAATGGAATCCTATAGCATGTAGTACAGCATGGGTGGAGCTTGAGAACATTATGCTAAGTGAAATAAATCAGTCAGAAAAAAGCTAACAACCATGTGATTTCACTCATATGTGGGATATAAAAATGAAACTTAAGAACACAAACAGAAATGTAGTGGTTGCCAGAGGGAAGGAGGTGATGGGAGAAAGGGGTCCTAATATAAGGTAACAGTAGAAAATTTGACTTTGGGTGGTGGGCACTCAGTTCAATATACAGAAATCTACATGTTCATGTTGATCAATGTCACTCCAATCAATTTAATAAATTAATTAAAGAAAAGAAGGAAAGGTTCTAGAGATAGGCTGTTGGAGTTTGATCATTACTCTACCACTTTCTATCCAAAGGATCTTGGTTTTGTGATTGAAACTTGTCCCAATTTCTTTATAACAGAGATTTAAAAAATCCTATCTTATTGGTTGGTTCTGACAATTAAATTTGTTAATATTGTAAAATTCTCAGAATAGTTCCTGATCAATAGTCACTATGCATATGCACTAACTATTATTTAAGCACTGTGAGTAATGAGTCCTCTCCCTTACCTTTGTATTTAGATGGACAAGATGGGACTTCTGTGGTGTGTAATGAGCCTCTACTTCTATGGGATCTTGCAAAGTGATGCCTCGGGTAAGTGGCTAGCTTTTGACAATTGAAATGCAAGCCATGAATAGTGTATTTTCTCTAGACTTTATGAAAATGAAGAGGATATTGTTCATTTCTATTGTGGTAGCATAGCATCATAAATTTGACAGAATCAGAGAATTTTAATGGTAGGAGGAACCACTAACATCTCTAGACTTCACAGTACGCAGTGCGATTAGGTTAGTGATCTGGTGTGTGAAAATGTTAGGACTTTTCCAGACCCCAAACAACTAGAACCCTGCTTCTTTTTCTTACAGCAGGTCCTATGAGAAAAGAAATGTTTTCCAAACTTGAGCCAGTGGTGGAGAAGGCCTTGGTGATAACAGTCAAGTGAGATGTTATAAAAACATATCATGCTGCTTCTATATAGGAAAGAAAAAATGGTCAGGCTCAATATTTCTTTGGGTATTGCTTCATAAGAAGAGCCAGCCAAAGTCATTATTGAGTTTGAATTACCAAACTCAACCATTATGGGCCTGAATTATATGAAATCAGACTTACAAGGGAATTGAAAGTTTATCTTTTCAGGTCTCTTCTCTAGAATTACTATTCAGAACTATTTTCTGGTATCTCTAACTAGTAATTATCTAATTATATCTGGTTATATCTTTGGACTGATATAATTTTAGATTTTAGTACATATAAATGAAATTTATCTCTTTGTCATTTCCATACATTTCTTTGGTTCAACTTCTTGATTTAAATAGAACATACATAAGCCAGTAATATTCTAATTTTAATGCAAGGAACTTAGATATCTTAATTTTAGAAAGCTTTTAATGTATATTTCCCCTTAAAATATTGTCCATACCTTGAATACCATTGTTTTATTTTCTCTTTTATGTGAGAGGCCTCCAAAAATGTTACAACAGTGATCATATAATCATGACCGTGCTCTTTAATATATACATTCAATTGTTCTTCACATGACATGGATTTGAGCCCTCCTACCATCCTGATGATGTTTCCTGGGTGTTTTTTAGTTTTGCTATGACACTTAAAGAATTTTATTAGAAACTAAAAATAACAATGAAGGAGAGATAAAACTAGGACAGAGTACAGCTCAAAGCTGAGAGAAGGAGAGATAACTTCCAATCTCCTTGGCTCCTGGGGTTTTCACAGATGAAAGTGTATATTATATAGGTCTGATATTCAGGTGAGATACATGACTATATAGCTCTACTGGTTTTTTAGAATGACATATGTCTTGCTTTAGTGAGTGCCCCAGTTGATGGTCAGTGCCATGATATCCTGATTTTTAAATATGCTGAATATAACCCCTGATCATAGTTTGTTTTTATTTGACTTAATTCTCTGCTTACAGAGGTCTTCCTTTTTTTTTTTTAAAGGCAATTTTGTGTATATATATATATATATATATATATATATATATATATATATATTATTGATTTTGAAAAGAGAGGAAGGGAGAGAGATAGAGAGTTAGAAACATCGATGAGAAAGAGTCATCGACCAACTGTCTCTTGCACACCCCTTACTGGGGATGTGCCCACAACCAAGGTACATGCCCTTGATTGGAATCGAACCCAGGACCTTTCAGTCCCCAGCTGATGCTCTATCCATTGAGCCAAACCAGTTTCGGCCAGAGGTCTTCCTTAACAATCTTCACTAAAATAGCCCTGCCAATAACTATCTATCCTATGCTGCTTTAGTTTTCTCATAACTCACTAATATATTAACTCATTCTTCTCCTCTTCCCTCTCTTTTTTCTTCCCCCAATCTCCATCCTAATTTCTTCTTCTCTCCCTTCCTCCCTTCTTTCCTTCCTTCCTTCCTTCCTTTTTTCCTTCCTTCCTCTTTCCTCCTCCTCCTCTTTCCTCCTCCTTCATCTTCCTCCTCCTTCTTATTCTTATTCTTATTCTTATTCTTATTCTTATTCTTATTCTTATTCTTATTCATCTTCCTTCTTTCTCTCCCTCTCTCTCTAATATATATTCCTTTTACATCTATTTTTAGGAAAATTGGCCAATTTTATAACGGAACTTCTTGTTTGGATTCATACCAGCAATCCATCAATGTGGTTTGATATGCTGCCTCACCTTGAAGGAAAAGAGAGGTGACTGTATTATTTCTACTGGGAGAACAGTGAAGTGCCAGAAGTTGTTGGTGCTGGTGCTTCCTTAATCATCTGGGCGGTGTTGCTTATCTGAATGATCTTTACTATAATTCTTCCAAAGAGCTCCCCCACCCCAAATTCTTTTGGAAAATGAGCTTTCTACACGGAAACTGTGACTCATAATTCTGCCTGGGAAACTGACTTCTCAAATAAGATAAGTTCTCATACCAGATCCATTGGGTCACCATGGAAGCAGGAAACATGTTGTAATCCCCTCAGCCCATCTGGCACATAATTTGCTTCCTTATGAAAAGGTATATTGTGTCTGTGTCAGTGATGTATTTCCTAGTTGGAGGAGAGGAACAAAAAGAAAGTGTTGTTGACAAAAATAAAAGAGGAAACTGGCTCTGGACTATAGGGGTGGGAGTATTACCTCACAGGATGGGGGATCAATCAACTTCTTGTGCATCAAGGTGCTATCTCTTATGATGACATATATGTCAGCAGACTTGTTGGTCTTTCATGCGGCTCTTTCTGTGTTAGGTACTCCTCTGGATGGAGCAACAAGATATGTGTATAACAGGGGAGAGATAGTCTGAAAACCCAGAGTACTGTAAATGTATATGATACTAGTAAGAGTTTTATCTTGTTCTGGACCCTTCCATGAGCTCCTCCTCTTTAGGGATGCCTCAAATTTATAAAAATGAATTATAACAACATCAAAAGTTGAGTTCCATGCAATGTGTTTCAAGTGCAGTGAGTTGGACTTCAAGTCACATGATTCTGACTTAAGAACATGGTCTTTCTGTGGGCAGTACTATATGGGATTTCCTTGTTTGCTCAGGAACGTGGGAGCATTGTTTTCATCTCAGGTGGTGAAAAAAGCCAATAATCAAAAGTAAGCATATACTTTCTTTTAAGGAACTAAAGTGCGGATTATTATAATAGTGAAAATGTATTTATGATATGGTACAGTGATAATAAACTCCCTTTGCAAAAAAAACAACAACAAACACTTTATGTTTTACATATTCTGTCATTTGACTCTCACACCCAGACCATGGAATAGTCAGGCTATGTTAAGAAATAGTGTTATGAGAAAACTAAAGCAGGATAGGATAGTCAAACTCCATTCTATCTAATAAAGAGGGAATATGCTAATTGACCATCACTTCATCACAAAGATAGCTTTATCCATAGCTGAGTCCAAGTTCCCGTAAGAAGCCTTAAAGAGCAATCAGCAGGGACCTGAGGCTAAACCCTTTCCCGCCCCCGTGGGGCTTGACAGGGGACTTCAGACTATACCTGCTGCCCTTGTGTCAAGCTGGGGACCTCAGGCCATACCCCTACCTGGGCACCAGACCAGGGGACCTGAGGCCATGCTTCCTGATCCAGCAGGGCTTGACAAGGGACCTCAAGGTACACTTCCAATCCTGGTGCTGGGCTAGGAGTCCTCAGGCTACTCCCCCTGCCCCAGTGCCAAGCTGGGGGACCTCAGGCCATGCCCCCCACCAGGTGGGGCTTGACATGGGACCTCAAGGTATACCCCCAGTGCTGTGTAAGAGAAACTCAGGCTGCACCTTCCACCCAGCAGGGCTTGATGGGGGACCTGAGGATGTGCCCCCCTGACGGTTGGGCTTGATGGGGGACCTCAAGGCACACCTCCCTGCCCCTGTCCTGGCACCAGGCTAAGGGACCTGAGACTACGCCCCCTGGCGGAGCTTGACAAGGGTGGGACTGGCCAGATCTGGATCTAGCCTAATGGTGGGGTGAAGGCTGAGTCTGCAATTTTGAGGCTCATGTGGGTGGATGGGGACTTGACTCTTGAGTCCCATGGTGTGCCCAGACTCTGAGAGGAGGAAGGTTTTCATATACATTTTACTAATTTTCTTTCATCTCTGACACCTCTATTATAGAGAAAGGGCAAATAGCAATACTAAATTATTTCCTCTAATTAATACCCTTTTAATGTGCATGAATTTTGTGCACCAAGCACTAGTTTTTAATAAGAAAAAAAAAAGGATCACAGTGGTTAAGTAAATTATCTGAAGTCCCACAACTAATCTTTAGCATAACCGTCACTTCAACAAGTTCCTCATTTCCCAAGAAACATGCTATTCTTACTAAATATACTTCCCTTGGACTCCACTAGCATATAAACAGTTTAGGAAGAAGATTAAGATCTGAGGAGTCGCAGGTTTTGTTCACTGTTCAAGAGGCACTCGGTCATAGGTTTTGGTGCTTTTCAGATCTTCTTAATATATTATTATTTTTAATATATTATTTTTTAAGGATGAAAATCACTGCAATGCATGCTCAAAACTCAATATTCCCATTTTTGCTTATTACCATATTAAGCATTTTCAATATTAAACTCTAAGAAGTTCTTCTTTGCAAGAATTCCAAAAGCAAACTTTGACTTGTCACACATTTCTCTTTTGGTGTTTCATTGGCAGCATGTTAAAAAGTCAAACTGTAAAAGCTGTCTTCAGAGTAGAAATAAATATTTGGAACTTGTGATTTCAAGTTGGAAAGATAGTGAAAATGGCACCCCAGATAGTATGGCAAATTTAAAAAATATTGCCATATCAAAATTATTTGCTGCACAGACCAACTAAAAATGATAGTGATGCACTTTCTTCTCCAAAAATGATAGCCATGCATTTTCTTTACATACACACGCGTGCACACACACACCCCCCCACACACACACACATTTGAACATTAGCTTTTTATTTAAAAATGAGCCAACAGTTGACTGTGTGCCAGGTGCAGGGCTAGATTTCACACACATTATCACTAATGTTGCAGAAAACACTGTGGAGGTGGAAAATCCCATGCCCATTTTATAGTTTAGGAAATGAAGAACCAGGGAGGTGGCCTAAGGTAACAGTACTCATGGGGCACC